AAGAAAGGTGGGGAACATCGTCTGAAGCAAGCTCCTTAAAAGAAGAAGTAGGTGGAGCTGGAGGAGAGTAGTGTGGACGCTATGAAAGGAGAGAAATAAGCAGAAATTTAAACTCCGACTCTACAAACCTCTAAATGTGTTGAGATGAATTCTGTCAGAAATACTGTTGGTAATGTCTTTTGACGGGTTTCACAATATAAGAAAAGTTCTACATCAACATTAACTCAACAAAAGAATCACATAGTTTGTTGCACTGCGGGACATCTGCTACATGCCATTTAGATATTTCTGAAATTGAACTGAATTATTGTTCCATATATTTGTTAAATTTCTTGAATTTGTTTTACTGAATGTGCAGCATCAGCGTCTTAGTGTAAGGGGACTAACCGTGAATGAACCACAAGTGTCAAACAAACCAAAACCATAGCAATCTTCTTCCTCCTGCAGCAGGAAGACAAAAGCATGAAATCATAAACGTCAGCATTTGTGAAGATTGCAGCAGCAATACAGTCAGTGCGATCAATAACATGATGATCACATGTTTAGTAAAGGACAGGAACACAGATGTGTTGCTCCCTCGGCCGCTGAAACAAAATCTTTGGCAAAACTACAGCTCCAGTTTATGCGCATGAGGACTAGTCATGTATGAACAACAGTTTAAAAAATTCATACCAAAGAGTCTTCCTCTATTAGGTCTTCATCATCCTCGGGAGAAATCCAGTTAATGTAGGGAAGGAAGTCCACATCTTCCTCTGCAATCAGCTTGGGGATGTCTGTAAAACCAGGCTGTGGTTGCTCTGAGTCCTAAAAATAAGATCAGTTAAATAAATATTTGATAAAAAAGCTAAAAGAATGGAAAACAAGCTGTAAATGTGAAAAAAGGCTGATTTGACAAACCCGTTCCTCAATGGCCACAAAGCTGGTAAACTGAGACAGGATGGAAAACTCTTTGCTTAACTCGATGATGAAGGACTTCAACTCTGCTTTCTTACCCTGTAAAAGTAAAAAAGTCAGTTTCCAGAGTTTCTCCCTCACAGCCCACCCAGGTATGCTAACAATCAGCCTGTAGTCACCTCTGAAGATATCCATGAGGAATGTATTGTTAAACAATCCCAGCACTGTTAACTAGAGAGCCTAAGCTAACTTCTGTCAGTTTGGACAGCAGTGGGAACGAATGGGATCATTGTCCTGCTGCTTGACATCATTTAGGCCAGAGATAAGCTGTTGTACAGATACAGCCACTTATAAAGGCTGCCTTATTCCTGACAGGACCATGACAGGCACCTGGTGGGTCCATGGCCAAGTAACGGCTGATCCGTCATGTAATAATATCCCCCTAAGGTGGGAAGTAAGTAAGAAGTAAGTACAAATACTTTGTTACTGTAATGAAGTACGATTTTTAGGTATCAGTACTGGTAGGGCTGGACATATCATACCGTTCATGGTAATACTGGTGTAATGTTGGGCAACGATAAGAAAATGAAATATCGTGATAGAATACGGGTAAAACGCGCATGCGCAGTGCCTTTGTTTTCATACGCACATGGCAGAAAAAGCATGATGGCGACAGAGAATGAGAAGGGTGAAAGCAGATCGTTGAATGAAACGATGAACCTGAACTGGTTTGTAAAAATTCTGCAGCTTCACTGGTGTGGAACTGGTTTAGCTTTCGTCCCTCAGATACACAACAAAGCACTATTTTTGGTAGAGCATGCTAGCGGGCCGTCGTTATTACCGTGTTGTTTGGAAAATACGGCGCACTTAAAATCAATCCTTTGATTTTTCTGAAAGTTGACAGAGCCCCTTATAATCCGGTGTGCCTTAAGTATGAACTCTGGTTGTGTTACTGACCTCGAAACGAGTTTATGTGCACGGCGCTCGAAAATCTGTCAAATGTTTTAGTACGACTTTGCTAAGCTACGAAGCCGCACCGCTTGATGGATTGTTGGAGCCAATGTTGCCAACTCCTCAGTAAGGAAAATCGTTATTGGCTGTCCTAAAAGTCGCTAGAAGTTGCCAAATGATGTCATCTCTTAATTTGCATAATGCTAATGTAATTGTAACTTACGGTGTTGGAGAGAAAAATAACATCGTGGACATAAAGTGAGTAAAAAATGTTCTTCCAAAAATTTATTTAGAACTACAAATTAAATTTCTTTTAGCAATTATTGTTTTTTTTAATGTCACAATTCCAACCCTGCTCCTTTACCCGGGCTTGGACCGGCAAAAGTGACCCGAAATAGGCACTCTGGTGGACTTACTTTGTGTGTGTGTGTGTGTGTGTGTTGGCACTCTGGTGGAGTTACTGTGTGTGTGTTTATAAGTAGTTTTAAACCTTGTGATCCACAAAACAGCATAACAGTAAAAGAAAAACTGACTGCGTTACAGTCAGTGGGAGCAGCGGCTTCGCTCATGCGCGATTCATTTGTAGTTTGGACGCACAGGTGTGAACGTCTCCTGCCCTGATAGCAGCGGGGGGAGCACTATCCTCCGCCTGTGAGCGCTTTGATATGGGCGAGGTGCCCACGGCAGCACCGCTGCTTGTTGAGAAGAGCGATACGCACTTTCACGTCAAAAAGTGGTCATTAGTGATGTGCGATACCACTGATTTCCTTTCCGATCTGATACCAAGTAATATTCAGGGTGGTATCGACGATACTGATCCGATACTTTGTAGAAAAACTTGTTTTATTTATTGTATCTCAAATTATAGCGTCATCATGATTACATCAGATTACTTGTTCTTATCACTTAATAATGCAGAGTTCATCACATAGAAATAAAAAACTGAAGTTGTGCTATTTGAACACTTTGCCTGCCTGCAGCACTAAAGGACTCCATGAGAGACGTCTGTCTCCCCCTAGCAGCACCTGTCCCTCTCCTCCTCTTCAGTTCACCTCAACATACGCTCGTGATATTCTGTGATATGATTTACTGTGAGGTGTTTGACGAGGTCAGTGGTGTGGCCACAACACTTCACTTTCTTGCCACATGTATCGCAAACCACGTCTTGGCTGTTTGTGGAGGTAAAATACGTCCACACATGACTCTGTTTACGCTCAGCCATTGTTGTGAGTGCGCACGCCAGAGGCTGCCACACATTTATACAGCCGTGTTTCACACATGACTATGAAAGGCGGAAGGGAAAATAGTTCCTTCCAAACATAGACAATCCAAATGTTATAGTTTCTTTCCACTGTGTTCCTGTTAATGATAAACTACAAATTTACTCTAAAGTACTAAAATATCGATATTTTAATGTGAGAATCGATTCTAGAACATAAATGATTGGTATCGGAGGAATCGATATTTCAGGATCGATCTGCACATCATCTGTCGTCATAAATAAGTCTCCAATAACAACAGAAACAGTCACCAGATTTGTCGCTAGTCACTTTTTAGAAAAAAAGTCGCTAAGGGGCTCTGAAAACTCGCTAAGTATAGTGACAAAGTCGCTAAGTTGGCAACACTGGTCGGAGCATTGCGGCTATCGTAGGCGGAGCCTCGCGGAGTGATGTGTACTGTGCTTCAACATAATGTTACCGTATTGTGTGTGTTTAACCTCTTTTTAAGTGTTGTGGATGTTATACATGGTTATGCTGAGGATGTGTCGGCCAGTTTCCACTAGAAACGCCTTTTGGTTAAACTGTCAGCGAGGAATTTGCACTGTTACATTTTTATATAACTTTAATGCAGATAAAAAACAGCTGCTTGTTTAAGTGAAAATACATTGATGGGTTTTTTTTGCACTAATAAAGTTGTGGAGTTGTAAAGTATTTTCTCTAGTGTCAATTATATCGTCAGTTATATCGTTATCGCAAATTTTCAAACGTATATGGTGATAAATATTTTTGGTCATATCGCCCTGCTCTAAGGACTAGTTTATCAGTAGTTTATTTTCTGACTACTTTTTACTTTAACTCTCTACATTTCTAAACAAATATATGTACGTTCTACTAGGGACCAATCCAATATACAGTATCGGTCCGATCCTGACCTAAATTACTGAATCGGATATCATTTCCAGTTTATGGCAGGCTGGAGCTTTGTTGGGTCGTTCCTGAACATCCTTACAAACTTCCTCTCATCTGAGGGGTTGTGTCTTCTTCCAGACCTTGGCAGAGTCGTGACACATCTGAATAATAATGTTCACCTGAACTGATGATGTTGGAATCTGTAGTTGTTTAGAAATGGCTGCAAGAGACCTTCCCAATGTGTCCAAATCTACAATTCTTCTTCACTGAGTTCTTTTCTGTTCTTCTACTGGTCAATCTAATCAGTGCTATCAAACACAACTTTATAGGCTGGTAAAGATAAGCATAACATCATTTTACAGCATCACTAAAATATGCTATAAGAAATGATTAACAGTTCACAATGTAGTACGAACATAATGTCCATGATGAGTAAACCTTTGACCACAGCTGTATTTATTGTAATAAGGATTTTGAAACTAAACTGAACTGGAAGAAAAATTTGAAGAACAATAAAATATATATATATATCACTAAAACAACAACTACTGTAAATTTCAATCTTTGGTCTCACTTATCTGCAAAGTACCTCGTGTTCAGCTTCACTGGTGTCCAGGTTCCCGTCTTCATAATCCCTGATGACGGCCCTCGCGGTGAGCTTGTGAAGAAACTAAACACATGACATAACAATTACCTCACTGTCCTGTGATGGCAGTCAGCCTGCGTGAGGATTGCAGGCTTAACAAGTGAGATGTATGCTCATACAGCAGCTACTGTTGAGTGTCAGTGTGAGTTCTTACTGTGCCCTTTGTTTTCTGCAGCTCGCTGGTTGACACCATTGTTTTGAGCTCCTGACCACTCAGATTTCCCAGGAGAGTCGCCTGTGTTAAAACAACGGCATTATCATTATTGTCTAACGGTGTTGTGCTGTAACTCTTTAATCAGGTCAAAAAGCCAGAGACTGCAAATTAAAATAAAGTTCAAATATTTTGCTCTTCACAGTTTCTAAGTCAGCAGTCACACTGATGCAGATTAGTGTTAACTCATTTGTTCTTCCCCTCAGGCCACTCGCAGTTACTGTTCAGCTGGTAGAAATATAACCATGCCTGAAGTTTCAACCAAAGCATTACTAACCATAGAATAGTGACAGAGTGAAATTAGGTACTGGAAATAAGTTAAAGATCCACTTCCAATGTCTGTGAAGGTTCTCAGTCATCCAGGTCATCGTAGTCAAAGGAGCTTGCAAAGAAAAGCGTCTGGACTTCTTTAAGTTGCTTGAAGACGTTTCACCTCTCATCCGAGAAGCTTCTCCAGTTCTAAGGTCAAATGGTGGAGAGTCCCAGATATAAACCTAGTGGGAGTTTCCCCCCACAGAGGGACAAAAGGACCCCCTGATGATCCTCTAATCGCCTGAGCCAAGGTGTGAAACTGGGTGTGGGTCCCAATCAGCCAGAGTTTCGGGTGTGTTCATTGTGAAACCTGGCCCCACCTTATCATGCGAATTCCTGAGATCAGATGGCCCAGGATGTGAGTGGGCGTTAAGGCGTCTGGGAAGGATCTCAAACTGGATTATAGATGGCAGAGAGTTGGTTTCATAAGCCCCGCCCTCTGTTCAAAGCTGGTCGCTCACAGTGGATGTAAATGGCTTCTTTCAGTCCTCTTTCAAACCATCTGTCCTCTGTCCAAAACGTGAACACTGGCATCCTCAAAGAGTGACCTTTGACCTTTAGATGCAGATGGATCGCCAAGTCTTGTCCCGTGGCGGTGGCTCTTCTGTGTTGTGGCGTGCGTTATAAAGTTGCTGTTTGGTCTCTCCAATGCATACCCTGTACAGCAAACACTACAGTGTTAAGCCATTGTTGGAAACTGGAATTGGCTGGGCCGCGCTATGAATTCTGGGATATGGCGGGCCACGAAGGATACACCGACCCATTCTTGAAATCTGGGGAAAAGGAGGATGCATTTGTCGGCCGGATTCAGAGAGGTCTACGAATTCGGACAGCCTTTGCTGCGTCGCTGTGATGTTAAAAGGTCTACAAATGCAGCCTCAGGAGGATGCAGCCTACGTTTTGGGACACAGCTTATGCCACTTATTTATGTGCGAATGCTTAATAATGAAGAACATTAAAACATTACTGTTGGCCACATGTCGGCAAAGTTATGTGACATTAGAGATGTTTGTACTAACTTGGTTTTAAAACCTTTAAAACATACCCCGTTCAATAGTTGACTTTAATCTCACAGAGAATGTGATGATTTTGTGGATAATTAAAGTCAGTCATATATCCACAAACACAACAAGCTGAAAGTCAGTGATGCTGCTCGGTTTGCAGTCCTGAATATCACAGCACAAGCAGGATTCACTGCACTGTTAATGTGAGCTATGTTATATTGCTGCCTCTGTTCGGTGGTGAGCCCTGCGACAGACTGGCGACCTGTCCAGGGTGTACCCCGCCTTTCGCCCTATGACAGCTGGGATAGGCTCCAGCGCCCTCCGCGACCCTGGAAAGGATAAGCGGAAGCGAATGGATGGATGGATGGATGGATGTTCGGTGGTGTCGAGCCAAACGGACTTTAACGTGTGTTTGAACGAGCTGACGGTTCACTCGTTAAGCTGAAAGAAAGATGCTTTAATCACAGCAGTCACACATGTGTCCACTGCACCATCTGGGAACTCTTCTTGTTTAGCACTCGTAATAACACAAACACTAAATCCTGCTCCTCTGTGCTGTTGTGTAGCAGTTTGTACACCTGAGACTGTCACCTGTCTGTCTGTCCTGCACTCTCTCTCTGTTTCTTTCTCTCTGATTGTG